GCATGGTTAAATCCATTACAGACATCCCAGAGCTACAGCAGGTTCCTGCTTATCTCTAGGCCAAAAGTAAATATGATGTTGGTCTGATCAAAAACTGTGAGCCTGTGGTAATAACACCTAAATCAGACTACAGACCCTGTCGTAATCAATATCCTCTCAGACGGGAAGCAGTTGAAGGCATTAAACCAGTGTTTGATGCTCTGTTGAAAGCGGGCGTGATTGTTCCATGTCCAGATTCTCCTGTGAGAACGCCCATATTCCTTGTGCGTAAAATACGACCTGATGGCGAACCTGCAGAGTGGAGATTTGTGCAGGACCTGCAAGCTGTAAATGCTGCTGTGCAGGCCAGAGCTCTTACAGTTCCACATCCACACACAATTCTGTCTCAAGTTCCAGCTGGTAGCAAATGGTTTTCAGTTGTTGATCTGTCAAATGCTTTTTTTCAGTGTTCCAGTACACCCAGACAGTCAATATTGGTTTGCTTTTTGTTTTGAAGGTAAGATGTGGACTTCCTCGAGGGTTTGTCAGGGATTTTCGGAGTCTCCCACTATTTACAATTCTGCTTTGAGGGACAGTTTGGAAACTCTTGTAATGCCTGAAGGTAGTGCTTTGTTGCAGTATGCTGATGACCTATTGGTTGCGAGTGACACCAGAGAGGGCTTTGTTGCAGACACCCTTGCCTTGTTGACTCATCTGGCTGAACAGGGCCATAAAGCCAGCCTGTCAAAGCTACAATTTGTTTCACAAGAGGTCACATTTTTGAGTCACGTGATCTCTCCTGAGGGAAAGACCCTCACATCCAAGCGCATTGAAGCCATTCAAAAGATCCCAAAACCTGAAACCAAGAAACAGGTTATGGCATTTTTAGGAATGACGGGGTACTGCAGGCAATGGGTTCCTAATTATGCTGAGATTGAGGCACCATTAGCAGCAATTGCTCATGGGCAAGGCCTGAAAGCATCTGATCATGTCATTTGGACTCCTGACGCAGAGAAATCTTTTGTTGATTTGAAACTTGCTTTGCAAACACCCCCTACTCTTGGACTGCCTGACTGTACATGACCATTTACCCAGACTGTTGATGAAAAGGGTGGGTACATGACTTCTGTACTGTTACAAGAACACGGGGGGGGAAACAACGACCTGTAGCTTATTTTTCATCTAAACTTGATAGTGTTGCTGCAGGTCTGCCTCACTGTCTCAGAGCTGTGGCCACTGCTGAGAGAGCAGTGATGGCATCACGTGACATTGTGGGCTATGCTGATTTGACCTTGCTCGTCCCACATGCAGTATCTCTTATCCTACTCGAGCAGAAAACTTCACATCTTTCTGCTGCAAGGTGGTTGCGTTACAATGCTGTTCTGTTGGAATTGCCTAACGTTAAGATAAAGATTATTAATCCTGCTACTCTTCTCCCAACGGCTGTTGATGGAGAACCGCATGACTGTGTAGCTGTGATAACTTCTGCTTGCTCTCCCAGACCTGATTTGAGAGACACACCGATTGACAATGCTGATTTTGAATTCTTTGTTGATGGATCAGCTTCGAGAGACCCCAACACTGGTAAAAATGTTGCAGGTTTTGCAGTCATAACACTGCAGGACACAGTGATCGCATGTCCTTTGTCATCCTCACATTCAGCTCAAGCGACTGAATTGGTGACTCCGACAGAGGCATGTAAACTGGCAGAGGGCAAATCTGTTAATATTTACACAGACAGCAGATATGCATGGGGTGTGGTTCATGATTTTGGACAAATTTGGAAAAACAGGGATTTCTTAACTTCAACGGGGAAATCTACTGCTCATCATGTGTTGGTGTCTGCTCTTTTGGATGCTGTGTTGTTGCCTAAACAAATTGTTGTGTGTAAATGTGATGCTCACACTAACAACACTGACCCCATCTCTCTGGGTAACGCCAGAACTGATGCAGCTGCAAAAGCAGCCTCAAAGCTGCCATTGTCTTCAGCCTTGCATGCCACCTCACTAACCCCTGCTTCTACTCCTACAGTCGTGGCTACGGCTGAGATAACAGACCTACAGATAAGGGCCTCTCCGACAGAGAAGGCCGTTAAAAAAAAGCAGGATGTACTGTGATTGGCAAAGTGTGGACAGGACCTGATGGCCTGCTTTGTCTCCCTCGCTACCTTTTTCATTTCTATGCTAAATTGATACATGGTTTGGACCACGTGTCAAAGGGGGGAATGGTTGAGGAGATACGGAGATACTGGTATACAAGAGGTTTTACCAGTTATGCCACAGAGTTTTGTAAAAGATGTGTGATCTGTACTACAAACAATGTGGGGAGGGGTATCAAAATACCACAGGCTGCACATCCACCTCCAGAGAGACCTTTTGATCACTTGCAGATGGATTTCATTGAACTAACACCGAGCGAAGGTAAAAGTTTGTTTTGGTGATGCATGTTTTCAAAATGGGTTGAAGCTTTTCCTACAGCTAAACAGGATGCTGCAGCAGTGGCAAAGGCTTTGATGACTCTGATAATTCCCAGGTGGGGAATTCCAACTAAAATCAGCTCAGATAATGGTACACCTTTTGTGAGCGCAGCCTTGAAAACTTATGGTGAGTTCATGGGTATTGATCTAAGACAACATTGTGCATATCACCCAGCATCTGGAGGGGTATGTGAGAGGGAAAATGCAACTTTGAAAAACAAACTTGTGAAAGTGTGTGAGGAGACAAAGATCTCATGGACAAAAGCTCTTCCTATTGTGTTGATGCACATGAGGGCCAGGAGGAGGAGCAGAAATGAATTCAGTCCATTTGAGATCTTATTTGGCAGACCTCTCAATACCGGGATTGGGCCCACTAAAAGGCAGTTGCCAGACACTGGTCACTGCAAGGATGAAATGTTACGATATTGTGCAACCTTGTCCTCTGTTTTGTCTGAAATCCACCAACAGGTGAAAGCTGCCCTGCCCAAACCTGCAGAAGGGAAACTGCATGAGCTCAATCCAGGCGACTACGTTATGGTGAGAGATCTGAGACGAAAGAACTGGAAAGCTTGCAGGTGGAACGGACCGTTCCAGGTGCTTTTGGTGACAGACAGCGGTGAAGGTTGCAGAGAGAGCTACATGGATACACACCAGTCACTGCAGACGGGTTTCTGATCCAGGGGCACATCACAATGCTGATCGAGACACCGAGGTCGTGGCATCCCTTTAGACACCTGGGGTGCGGTCTAAGAGGGGCAGTGGGCCTCCTGCTTGTCATCTCCATCGGAGTGGGGCTGATACTACTGCTGCTGGACGAGATCTACAGTCACGACGTCACTGAGCCGGATGTCAACGACACTCTGGCACAACACTCACCTCACCCACCTTTCAGATAAAGTGTTAGCTACAGACAGGTTTCATTTTAGTTTGTCTTTAACAGTTTGCTGTTAGCACCGCGAGTGCGATGTGCTTGTGTCGACCGCGATTGTAAATCATAATAGCGCTCAGTGAGAGACTGCGGGCAGAGCGGGTTGAAATATGGCTTTCTACATGCTGATCACATGTATTGATAAAGTATTGGCTTTTTATTGGAAGAGCTTTTATTGCACTTATTCACAGTAACAAGCGTAGTTGTTGTCAACTAGAGTGATCTTGAAGTTATATTCCCTTCATCTGCACTGCGGCCCCACCGCTGCAGAATGATGATACATGAAACCGAAACTTTAAAAAGTAATGACGATAATGGCGGAGCTTACTATTATTACAGTCTTGATTAAATTTACCTTGGGCTGTTTAATACCGGGTCTCAGTACCGATCCCTGCCCGGGCATTTGATGAAGGCTCCTGGTTGGCCGGTGATAGACTGGTGTCAAACTGTCGTTATAGCCCGTCCGAGCGGTTCATGCCAGGCTCGAATCAAACCCACAACTGGTGATGTAGGCATCGTCTCATTTGATGTTGCTCAATAAGAATCCTGAATGTCATCGCATTTTTTTTCTCAATGGACGCAGGTGTCAAAGCAATGGACTGAGCAGTGGACTGAGCAATGGACTCCTCTGCCTGGACAGAGGCAGAGGAGAAAACTGCAAAATCAGCTGGGGCAGTGCGGGCGGGACATCAAGGCCACTGTGGCATTAGGGCAGATATTTTTTTCAAGGGCACAGGGCCAAATTAGGAGGGCACAAGAGCCATGGCCGTCATGGTCCTCGTGAAATTCCTGCCCTGATGGGAGCGATTGACTGCACCCATGTGCAGCTTGTGCCCTCCGCAGACACTGAGCATGTGTACAGAAATCGCAAAAACACGCATTCATTGAATGTGCAGTGCGTTTGTGATGCCAAAGGTATCATTACCAACGTTGTGGCAAAATATCCCGGGTCAGTACACGATTCTTTTATTTTGAGAAACAGTTTTCTGTTTTCCAAGATGCGAGATGGCGAGTTTGGAGATGGCTGGCTTGTATGTGAGTCAATTTGCAAAAATCCTTTGTAAAATAATTACATTAAAAACAAGAGCGTGTTTCATATTGATTCATATGTTTTTTAAGGTGATAGTGCATACCCCCTACACCCCTTCCTCCTTACACCTGTTCTCAACCCGACCACTGCCGGAGAAATAAGGTACAACGAGGCCCATATCCGCACACGGAATATTGTGGAGTGCACCTTTGGAATCCTGAAGAGCAGGTTCCGTTGTTTGGATCACACTGGAGGTCATTTGTTATCATATTCAGTCCTAGATCCAAAAGCACAATTCAGGAGGCAGAGAGCAGGTGAAGCCTGGGCTTGAGGTGAGGGACAGGAGACCCATAACAACAAAATATTGTATTTTATCAGATGGGGGAGAAAAAATTGATATTGGCCTTATATCGGCCATCGGCCGCCCTGCTCTCTCTCAATATTGGCATCGGCATAATCGGCCTAAAGGCCATATCGGTCAACTTCTAGTGTGCACAGGCCCTGCAGTGGGGCTGGGCTGAGCCTTAGGATTAGGAATTGTTACTTGTATTGTATTGTCGCTGCTGGCCAATGAAAGTCAGGCTTACCCTGCAATGTTGTTGGTGGAGACACTCTTAGACAGGGATAGGCTGGAGCGACCTCGGCGGGATCCCAGCAGGGTTTGTCGGAAGCTGTCAGAGGGGTAGATAGCTGAACTTGGACGCTCACGCATTCCTGGAGCTATGGAGTGGAAAAAGGTTGCAGGTGGAGGAGGGAGAACAACACGAGGGATTGTGATAAGGGAAAGATGTGTAGGAGGAGGAAGAGGAGTTTAAGAATGAAGACTAGAATGTTTTAGGAAAATGAGAATAAAAAGCAAAGAGGATGTGACTGAGTATATGTGTGTAATAAAAGCTCTCACTTTTTGTGCGCAGCGTGACATTCTGCAAGGCTGAGTTGTTCCGCATGATGGCTGTCTTCTGCTGCTGTGTTGATGAAGGACAAAAATCAGTGAGTGACATGTACAATAGCAATTGTACTTTTTTTTTTTTTTTTTTAAAAAAAAAAAAACCTTACAGTTTAAGCTGTGCATTCATTTTAGGTGATGGAGGAAAATCCTCTTTCATAAGGGTAAATTGTTGCAAAAGGCAAAATACGTTGGAATTAATGTTAGTGTTTTCAGACATTTTAATTTTTAAAAAAAAAGTCAAAAAAATTAACAATAATTTGACAGCCCTCAGCAATAACTCTGAGGACCCCCTAGGGGTCACAGAACCCCTGTTGAAGACCCAGGTTCTAGAGTCTAACGAAATGAACAAACACGTCTTTGACTGGTAGTCCCTGGTGTGCACATATAAAAAAACACGAGTTTGGAGACTTAATACAAGCAGATATATTTATTTTAAAAGAACTCGTCAGGTATGTTCTATAATCATTAGATAATCTGAGTCATTTGAGTCCAGACAATCAGATTGTTTGTCAGCTATGCTGATGGCAACTGTATCCCTCATTTAGATTGTTTATTTCACTGAAACTGTCTGACAGTCAGCTTGAAACATCCCTCGGTTGGGGCGTCGGTGGCTTAGTGGTAGAGCAGACGCCCCATATACAAGGCTGTTGCTGCAGCAGCCCGGGTTCGAGTCCAGCCTGTGGCCCTTTGCTGCATGTCATCGCCTCTCTCTCTCCCCCTTTCACACTTAACTGCCCAAAAAAATATCTTTAAAAAAAAAAAAAAAAAAAAAAAGAAACATCCCTTGGTTTTCTGTCATAAATCACTGCAAATAGCCTTAACCAGTAGCGGACCCTGATATGAGCCAAATGGGCGTTTGCCCAGGGCAGCACTTTTTCATGACGTGTGGGGGAAAAAAGAAAGAAAGATGCTTTTCTTGTGTGAACGTCGATGGGGAATTGGCACCCCCTGTGTTTTGCAGATGCCCCTGCCTGTAGCCTACTTGTTTAGAAAGTGCTGCTGCCGCACACAGAGGCTATGAGAGAAGAAGGGCAAGGGGGAGGGGATGCGGGGGACAGGTTCACCTCTCTGTTGGAATGGACAGAGGAAGGGGGGTCAATGAGAAGGATCTCTCAGAGATCTTCCCCAACTTTTGGACTGCACTCAGAATCGCCCTTACTCTACCAGTCACTGTGGCTCAGGCAGAGAGGAGCTTTTCCAAGCTGAAGTTCATAAAATTGTACCTGAGGTCAAGCATGTCCTAGGAACGTCTCACTGGCCTTGGAATAATTAGCATTAATCATGCAATAGGGGAACAGATCTTTACAATGACATCACTGAGGACTTTGCGGCAAGAAAGGCCAGAGTGTGTGTATTTTCTTGTGCATTGAGTATTGAGTATTTGATGGGGTGGTCCTCAGGTGGGGGGTGGTCCTTTGGATAGCCTTGTGGTTCTCAGTTCAGAGGCCAAATAATAAAACCTTGTAGTTGTTGCCTAATTCTGTGGCGCCATAGGGGGGGTGTCGCTCAGGGTGCCATTTAGGCTAGAACCGCCACTGAGCTTGATATCACCTAAATATCGGACCACTTCTTCTTGACTTCTGACACAGTCTGAGGCGACAGCATCTGCCACCAGCTGCCACTCCGCTGCATTTTTAGCCTTAGTAATGCCCATACTGAGTCCACCAAACAACATTGTCTTTCTGTTACCAACCCCCAACAAGAACTTCAACTTCACATTGTATGAAGTTTTGTTTTTTACCTTGTGATATTACATTTGCCATGCTCTTCTTCGCGCTGTTTCTTGTTAATGAATATTAATCTTTTTAATAATCTCAAAGTCGTGTGATTTATTCATTTTGTAACTCTGTATGAAATGCCTTGCTCCATACTCTAAGCTAGGAATGTCCTTTTTGTCTTTAGAAACAGTCTGTCACAGCTAACTGGCCTGTTTAAAATGCTGCAATAATACAGTAATAAAAGTCCCAATGTCCTCTAACGAGATGATAATAAAATCCCAATGTCCTCAAACAAGTACTTCCTAATTAATAACGTCTTAGCTTGGTACTATTGCTAAAATTATAAAATGTGTATGCCATATCAAACTACAAATGTTATTAAGCATGAATAGTTTCCACCATAAAATATGATCAAGTTTTGTACCTTGTCTACTATTGTGTTGGGATCGACTGCAGACTGATTTTGCAAAGATGGCTGCCATTTTTTTTTTTTTTTACATGGATTAGTGTGTTGTACTTTTACTACCACTAGATGGAACAAAAAAGTGTCAACAAACGAGTACAACAAGTCTAACTGAAGCAAAAATTAGGTTTAAGGTGCAACAGTCCCCAAATGTGTTGTTCACATAAGGATGCAGGGTCTCACAAGCTTAAAAAAATTGTGATTATGAAATGTCATGCCAGCTAGTGTATTTTTCATGTTATGTACAGTATATCAAGGGCTGGCCAATCATCAGCCTGGCAGACATCACAATTCAATATGATGAAGTTGTAAAAACACCCTGTGTTTCTGCCAGTAACGTTCTGACATTACTCTCATGGCCATATTTATGATGAAACTTCAGTTGTACGAGTACGAGAACTGCAAGGAGAGCAAGAGGGAGTGACAGTGCCTGGATGCGGGCGATAATGTGAAGAGTTTCATAGTGACACAGTTGATCACTGACAAAACAGACATTTCATACATACAGTACAGGCCAAAAGTTTGGACACACCTTCTCATTCAATGCGTTTTCTTTATTTTCATGACTATTTACATTGTAGATTCTCACTGAAGGCATCAAAACTATAAATGAACACATGTGGAGTTATGTACTTAACAAAAAAGGTGAAATAACTGAAAACATGTTTTATATTCTAGTTTCTTCAAAATAGCCACCCTTTGCTCTGATTACTGCTTTGCACACTCTTGGCATTCTCTCCATGAGCTTCAAGAGGTAGTCACCTGAAATGGTTTCCACTTCACAGGTGTGCCTTATCAGGGTTAATTAGTGGAATTTCTTGCTTTATCAATGGGGTTGGGACCATCAGTTGTGTTGTGCAGAAGTCAGGTTAATACACAGCCGACAGCCCTATTGGACAACTGTTAAAATTCATATTATGGCAAGAACCAATCAGCTAACTAAAGAAAAACGAGTGGCCATCATTACTTTAAGAAATGAAGGTCAGTCAGTCTGGAAAATTGCAAAAACTTTAAATGTGTCCCCAAGTGGAGTCGCAAAAACTATCAAGCGCTACAACGAAACTGGCACACATGAGGACCGACCCAGGAAAGGAAGACCAAGAGTCACCTCTGCTTCTGAGGACAAGTTCATCCGAGTCACCAGCCTCAGAAATCGCAAGTTAACAGCAACTCAGATCAGAGACCAGATTAATGCCACACAGAGTTCTAGCAGCAGACCCATCTCTAGAACAACTGTTAAGAGGAGACTGCGCGAATCAGGCCTTCATGGTCAAATAGCTGCTAGGAAACCACTGCTAAGGAGAGGCAACAAGCAGAAGAGATTTGTTTGGGCCAAGAAAAACAAGGAATGGACATTAAACCAGTGGAAATCTGTGCTTTGGTCTGATGAGTCCAAATTTGAGATCTTTGGTTCCAACCGCCGTGTCTTTGTGAGACGCAGAAAAGGTGAACGGATGGATTCCACATGCCTGGTTCCCACTGTGAAGCATGGAGGAGGAGGTGTGATGGTGTGGGGGTGTTTTGCTGGTGACACTGTTGGGGATTTATTCAAAATTGAAGGCACACTGAACCAGCATGGCTACCACAGCATCCTGCAGCGACATGCCATCCCATCCGGTTTGCGTTTACTTGGACGATCATTTATTTTTCAACAGGACAATGACCCCAAACACACCTCCAGGCTGTGTAAGGGCTATTTGACCAAGAAGGAGAGTGATGGAGTGCTGCGGCAGATGACCTGGCCTCCACAGTCACCGGACCTGAACCCAATCGAGATGGTTTGGGGTGAGCTGGACCGCAGAGTGAAGGCAAAGGGGCCAACAAGTGCTATCGAGAGAATGCCAAGAGTGTGCAAAGCAGTAATCAGAGCAAAGGGTGGCTATTTTGAAGAAACTAGAATATAAAACATGTTTTCAGTTATTTCACCTTTTTTTGTTAAGTACATAACTCCACATGTGTTCATTCATAGTTTTGATGCCTTCAGTGAGAATCTACAATGTAAATAGTCATGAAAAAAAAGAAAACGCATTGAATGAGAAGGTGTGTCCAAACTTTTGGCCTGTACTGTAGATATATAACACGGACATGGTGATGCACGTTCAACCGGCAATAGAGCTGTTCATATTGGTAAGTGTTGCGTTTGTCACTGTAAGAAAAAGTCCGCTGGCTGCTAGGCTAATTTATGCAATGTTAAATGTCATAGGTTAATGCTAATGATTTTAACATGTTGTATTTATGGGGAAAATGTATGAGGGGCCGTCAGGGACATTATTCAGAATTACCTCTTACATACACTACTGAAACACTCTCACATAAACAACTGAAAAAGCATTCACTCACACACACTACTAAAACGCTCTCACACATACAAGTGAAATGCTCTTATATACAATACTGAAACGCTCTCATACATACAAGTGAGTGAAACGCTCTCATGCACACTACTGAAACGCTCTCGCACACACTACTGAAACGCTCTCATGCACACTACTGAAACGCTCTCGCACACACTACTGAAACGCTCTCATGCACACCACTGAAACGCTCTCGCACACACTACTGAAACGCTCTCATACACACTACTGAAATGCTCTCGCACACACTACTGAAACACTCTCATACACACTACTGAAACGCTCTCACACACACTACTGAAATGCTCTATATGAACAACTGAAATGCGGTTGGAAAAGCAGTCTGGAAAGCAGACGAGATCAGATAGCAGCAACAGGGGGCAGAGACAAAAAGCTGTGGTCAAGTCAGACAATTTCCAGCAGCCTTCAGTCTTCTTCTTCGTGTTTTTGTTTAATTACAGGTAGCAGTTTGCGTTCGATG